TTATCTTTCCCTGCCTCTGTTTTATCATTCATAAAATCAGGGTGATAGTTACTGTATTTATCTCAGAAGGCAATTCAGAGCCTTAAATACCTTACTTTACATAAAGCTCTTAGAACAGTGCCTGCCGTTGGTTTCTGTACTGGCCTGATTTTCTCTGTGTTCTGTCTCGGCTTGGCCTCTTCATTTCACCAGGGATGATGATGGAAACCATAGCTTGGACTGCTTTACAAGTACAACAGCCAAAAGTATTTGGGAATTGGAATTTAAATGCAGTTATTGTTTTGTCTTCAGGACTATTTTCTCTAAACTTAAAATGACCCTATTAGCTTATCTGTTTAAAAGATGATTAGAAAATGTTCTAGGTATAATCACCCAGATGTGATGTGATTGTGATGTGTGTGTTTGTGTGTTTGTGGTAGAGTGAGGGGTTGTTGGGGGGGGGGGCACTGAGGTAGGAGAAAGAGAAAAACATATAAAAACAGAAGTAAGGCAGATAACCACGCTGTGAAAATACTCTGTACTGGATAAACCCTGGTAGACAGAGCTGGTATGAATATTCCTACTTGAAACATTGGTGAAATGGGGTTGGCTTGTTTTTAACTTTTATAAGTGAGATTTTAATGCCAATACTTCCAACCAGTTTTGGGGGCAGGTGAGTTGTGTCGGTGGCAGGATCAGAAAAGCAGTGAGATATTAAACAAGTGAAACTGTTTGTAACATAATTCCACCAGACAGGGATTCCATGATATGGACATACTCACTAGGTGAAGATTCATAGACCTTGATTCTTCCATGAAGCCCACCCTGATTAAGATAGACACTCCTCTATTTGTCCATGACACCCTGGGAACAGATCTTTCTAAAACACAGTGTTTTTGACATCGTATTATGATTATCTGTTTATGCTTCTTGCCTTTATTAGTAGAAGAAGTTTATTAAGAGCATAGTTTATAATGTATCCTCTTACCAGGAATAGTGTGTGCTCAGTGTTTATAGAATGCATTGTGTGTCTATTCCCAATCTTAGGCTTTTTGCACATAATGTAGAAGACAGAGATTTAAAGTTAAGGAGATAAGTGGCCATTAGTACCAAGTTGAAGCAACATAATCTTTCTGAGATGTGTTCATTCCAGACATTGTTTAAGGCAAGCCCTGCAAAGGGCTACTGAAAACAGGGCTCCCTGGTCATTCTGAGGTGCCGGGGTCCAACCCCAGCGGGTCCAGGGGTCCCCAAAGGTGTGGACGGAGTCGGCGAAGAAGGAATGACACGGAGACAGCATTCAGTTGATCAGCAGCCTAGCCAGGATCTCTAGCCAGGATCTCCAGCCAAGTTCTGGTCTGGATCTCCAGCAAAGTTCTGGTTCGGATCTCCAGCCAGGTTCTGTGTCCATGTTCTCTTGCTAGGTTCAGTCACCAAGTTCTAGTCAGGTTCTCTTGCCATGTTCTATAGTCAGGTTCAGTCCAGGATCTTTTGCCATGTTCTCTCCAGCGAAGTTCTTCTGTCTCTAGAGAACGTTCTGTGTAGGTTCTGTGCCTAAGTTCCGTCTCTCCTCGTTCTGTCTTCTTACATCTGTATTTATACCAGTTGATTCCAATCCTATCAATCTCTATTTCAAAGGTTAGGGCGTTTCTTATCTCCATTCCAGGGAGTAAAGATTATGTAGCTTAAGCATGATTGTTCGTAGTTAAAGTGATTAATTACCCATCTGGCACTTAGTTAAGAGGTTTTGTTCCCTCCCTAACTTCAGGGGAAAATCCCTACCTGGGGAAACAACCTTTCTCAGAGACCTTGGTTAAAACACATAGTGCCAAGAAGGTGAGCAAACATATTAAGAACAGTATGCCATATATGCCAGGTCCCTTGAAACAGCAAGCATGGACCGGCTCCCGGCAAATTCCCCCTTTTTTATTTTTTAAAAGCGGGCATTAAAAAGAAAAACCTCAAATGCTCTCTTATATCCATTTTAAGAGTAGGATTGGCGCTTTCCGCTATTACCTGAGTCCTGATCTATCACCCCAGGGAGAGCTTGCCAATCCTGCACTTTCCCAGGGTAGAAAGGCTGCAGTGGGGTTAAGGATAAGGCTCCTTGGGCCTACCTTCTCCCATGCCTTTACATTTACCTTTCCTTCCTCAGAAAAGCATGGACATACTTCTTGTATAAAACGTTCTGTCTGACTGGGAGTAACCTTAATTCCTCTGCTAGCAAGCATATGTGTTAAAAGATCAATCCAGAGTCTTATTTCTTTAGACTCAGTATGGCACATCTTCTTAATCTAAAGATCAATACAGAGTCTTCTTTCTTTGGACTCAGTATGGCACATCTTCTCAATCTAAGAATCAATACAGAGTCTTCTTTCTTTGGACTCAGTATGGCACATCTTCTCAATCTAAGTTCTGTACTATCCACCTTCTTACCCTACTTATCCTCTATAGGGGGGTCTGCAGTACCCTGGTGGAGTCCTATCTGTCCCGAGTGTGGGGGTTCTCAATGGGGGGGGGGCTTACCTAGGGGAATCCTGTTCCAGGGCTTCCCAAAGGTGTGGATGGAGTCGGCGAAGACTATCCACCCTCTTCCTGCGGTGGAGTCCTATCCGTCCCGAGTGCGGGGGGGGCTTACCTAAGGGTCCCTGTTCGGGCGCCATATGCCGGGGTCCAACCCCAGCAGGTCCAGGGGTCCCCAAAGGTGTGGACGGAGTCGACGAAGAAGGAATGACATGGAGACAGTGTTCAGTTGATCAGCAGCCTAGCCAGGATCTCCAGCCAGGATCTCCAGCCAAGTTCTGGTCTGGATCTCCAGAGAGGTTCTGCTCTGGATCTCCAGCCAGGTTCTGTGTCCATGTTGTCTTACTAGGTTCTCCAGCCAGGTTCTCCAGGTTCTCCAGCCAGATTCTGTAGCCAAGTTCCCTCGCTAGGTTCTCCAGCCAGGTTCTGTCCAGGTTCTCCAGCCAGGTTCAGTCACCAGGTTCTAGTCAGGTTCTCTTGCCAATTTCTGTAGTCAGGTTCAGTCCAGGATCTTTTGCCATGTTCTCTCACTAGGTTCTGTCTCTAGGTTCTGAGGCCAGTTTCTGTCCAGGAACTTTTGCCATGTTCTCTCCCGCGAAGTTCTTCTTTCTCTGGAGAACGTTCTGTGTAGGTTCTGTGCCTAGGTTCTGTCTCTCTTGGTTCCGTATTCTAAGTTCTGTCTCTTGCTGTCTTACTACATCTGTATTTATACCAGTTGATTCAATCCTACCAATCTCTATTACAAAGGTTAGGGCGTTTCTTATCTCCATTCCAGGGGGTAAAGATTATGTAGCTTAAGCATGATTGTTCGTAGTTAAAGTGATTAATTACCCATCTGGCACTTAGTTAAGAGGTTTTGTTCCCTCCCTAACTTCAGGGGAAAATCCCTACCTGGGGAAACAACCTTTCTCAGAGACCTTGGTTAAAACACATAGTGCCAAGAAGGTGAGCAAACATATTAAGAACAGTATGCCATATATGCCAGGTCCCTTGAAACAGCAAGCATGGACCGGCTCCCGGCACTGAGGTTCTTCCACATAGACTTTGGGATGAGGGCCTGAGTGACTGGTTGGCCCTCAATGCATACATAACACTGTGAAACAAGTAGGCTGGCCTGCATAAGTTAGGCATTTGCTCGTGTTCGGTTTCTCCACGCTGCTGTGAGAGGTCCTTGGATATTCAACATGACCAGCTTTGTCCTTTGTATGTCCTCTTAGAGGACAAGTGAACCCTTTGATCATTTCTCTCCTCCACCCTCAACAGGGACACATGCTAAAAGGTTTCCTCCATAAAGGCTCTCCCATCCCCTGACCCCTTTCTTCCGCGGCTCACATCAAATCTACTTGATTATATGGAGGCTCTGTCTGGCTCTCAGAGGTAGAAAGGCATCCTGTGGCTGGTGGACAGGCCGAGGAGAATGCGATGGCAACATTCTCATAGGATACTGTCTCTCTGCTTCCACAGGACACATCTTGACAATGGACCTTTATTTATTAGCATAAAGGAGACTTTAGAAGACTGCTTGTAGTAGATGAAGATTCTCAGGGTGAACTCCTGTTTCAGGACAGCTTGGCTGGAGCTGCTGAGTAGCTTCTGGGAGCAGATTGAGGACAGGATGATGACTTCCCATCTCAGCTGCAATGCAGCGCCAGGGAGAGTCTGGGGCAGGTTTGTTTTTATGGGGCCTGGAAGTAATCCAAGATAGAAGTGCCTAGTGTTCTATTTTCCATCAAAAGGCATCAACGCTCTACACGTAGCCAGAATGAATCAGAGGAAAAGAAACCAGAATGGGAATGTTTGTTCTCAGGGACTGAACAGTAATTGAAAAGGAACAGGGTAGCCTTGTTGGAAGTTACACTGTAATGGTGGAGAGGCATCAAGGCAACAAGCAGGAAGTTGACAAGAGAGGTGGGCAAGATAGTATTTGGAATGCTTTTGTAAATGTGTTCCATATTGAATGTGAAGCAAGCTAATTAGTCCAAGACAACTCACAACCAATCCTGTAGATAAGAGTATATATGGTAAGTAAATTAAATGATATGAGGTAAAACGAAACTAGAGTCAAGGCAGCAGAGCATAGTGGATGAAACAAGCAAATTCTTGATCCAGCCTGCTTGGGTCCGAATTCTGGATCTGCTACTTATTATCTGTTGGCAATAATGATTATCTGTGTTTTGGTTTCTTCATCTGTGAAATAGTAATAGTACTTTTCACAGAGACTCTGTGAGTTAATATATCCTTTAAATATATTGACATATCGGTAGGTGTTATATGACTATTTGGTAAATAAATAATGAAGTCATCTAATACTTCCTCAATATTTTATTATACATTCTCTGGAAGAAAAATGTTTTCTGCATTGAAGGACATGTTTTTAGTTTAATGAGCATTTGTATTATTCTTTGGTGCTGCAGACATGTAGAAAGGCATATAAAATCTGGACTCTAATCTCAAAGAAATTATAGTCTATAGGGCATACAGTTCTAGGGTGGATTAAAGTAGGTTTACAGTTGTGAGTACATGAAACAGAGTTTATCCTTGTATTGATATTTATTATTGTGTTATTTTCCATTTGAATTTACAGTTGCCCCACCCTGTAAAAAAGTTGAATATTATTAACACAAATATAAGTCAAAATATGTGGAAACATGGACTTGTGAGATTCATTTCTGCATGTGCAGGAATTGCGACAGGAAGTCAGAAGAGGAGACGCCTCTGCTTCTGGGTGGTCACATAGGCTTGTTTAGGGAACATCCCTTAAGAATGACCGGTCCACCGGCAGCAGCCAGGTTTCTATCAGAGAGTAATTTGCATAATGAGGACAACAGAAGGCAGGCTTTGGGCTGTGAAATATACCCTTGACTCTATTTAAGCTTCTTTTTTACTAAAAAGCAAAGATTACCTTGGTCATTCACTCATACGTATCCATGAAGACATACATACATCCCTTATTTAGTAGTAGCACATTTTATGCCAACATTTTTCACCCATTTGTGAGCACAGAAAAAGATTTACTGTTAATCTTCACAGATTTTGTTGTATTCCATCCAAATAAGTACATCTGGTTCACATGATATCTGGCTTGGCTTTCCACACCACTACCCAAAAAAAAAAATCTTTTTTTCTGGCATACAATATGTTTGGAATTTAAACATGCAAAAAAAAAAAATCAGTTATGGCTACTTGCGAATAGAAAACCAAATAATCAGTCATTCACAAGACAATTAGAAATGACATTTGTCCACCAATATCTGAGTTCTTCATATAATTAGTAAAACAAATGTTCCTGGTAGAGTCAGGAGAAAGCAGAGGTCCTGAAGAAAGACCCTGTAGTTTCTGTTGTGCAACTGCCTCCTCTCCCCCCCTATGACCCACCCCCACCTCCCCTCTCTTTATCTCCCTCCTGCTCCTCTCCCTCCTCTTCTCTTCTTTCATGTTTGCAATTCAACATTTTTATTTTGTATTCTGAAAAGTTATCATAGATATCAAGAATGCAGTCTGAGTTTCCTATGTATTGTCTTCATGCTAACTCCTTAATCATGGCTGTTATATATTTATATATTGCTTCTTTATAAGTTTGACTTAAGACATATAAGGTATTTCTTAAGGCTTGTCTGGCTAGTGTGGTATAAACACCAGTGTGTATCAGCACCAATAAAATGCTTTGGCACAAATGTCCCCATGACATTTGACAATAGTCTCCAGGGTTATACACCTAACCTGAAGACTAATCTTGCTGGAATGACTTAATAGGCTTAAAATGTCATGCTTTGTGCATTACTGCCTTAGCTAGATTAAAAACGCTGTGTTTATTTTAAACTCCACATGTCCTATTAAATTACAGTCAGCTTAGTTACTTTGTCGTCTCCTTTTAGGATATTACCTTATTTTTAAAAGAGATTTTTGAAGTCAAATTTCTCATGTCAGGATGAATTAAATACAGGGCCACAAAAGCTAAACATATAATGGAATGAGGGAGCATACTGTCAACAGAGCCAAAATGAAATGGAGAAATGGTACTGACCTAGAAAGAACAGTGGTAAATCACTTAAGCCAAATCATATATTCCAAGTGCTGGATATTCCTACATTAGTATTTATTTGGAGTAGATTCTCTAGAGCAACATTTCCTATAGCAGTTCCCATAGAGCTACCCCATGAAGAGGTTCCCAGTGTTAAATAAGATGGAAAACAAAACTATGTCTCTACATTTTAGAAATTTATAATGTATATTAGCCAAAAAAACTCCTTAGAGAAGTCCTACAGTTCGTTTTTAAATTAAGATATAATTAGCATACTATGGTCACCATTTTATTTTTAATTTTAATTTTATTTTTACACATGTTTTAGGGCCCAAAAGGAACAAATAATTTTATCCATGACAAGTTTGGGCACATATTCTTAACAATATATTGTTCCTTTTCCTTCTTTCTGAACTTTCTTTTACCTCCCAGGAGACACATTCTCAAAAACATATATTCATACTCACACACACAAAAAAAATTAAGTTTATAATATAGAGTTAAGAGCATTCAACTATTTTAGAGAAAAAATATCTGGCTTGGCTTTCTACACCACCACCCCCCAAAAAATATCTTTTTTTGATTTTATGAAGAAGACTTCATACAGAGGAGAAACCAAGATGGCGGCACAGGTAAACACCTGAAATTGCTGCCTTGCACAACTACTTCAAAAATACAACTAAAAGACAAAACGGACATCATCCAGAACCACAGGAAGGCTGGCTGAGTGGAAATTCTACAACTAGAAAGAAAGAGAAAAGCACACTGAGACTCAGAGGAGGTGCGGAGGTAAAGTGCAGAGGTACGGAGGCGCATAGAAGGGGCTGGCAACTGAGGACGCGGTTGTCTTTTTCAATTGGGAGGGAGACACACGCTCCTGCTCTGAACTCCAGTTCTGGGCGAGTCTCTGGGAACCCAGACTCATACGGGGAGAAACTGGACTGTCTGGCAGCGGGTGAAACTCGAGGGCGGCTTTCTCTCAGAGGTGCTTGCAGTGATTACCACGGGACACTGAGACCTGGGGCCTCAAGACTGAGGATCAGCCATAGCTGTTTGCTCCGCCCTGTTGATTCCCTGAGACCCAGCCCCACCCAAGCTGTGGCAGAGGCTTTTGCATATGAATGACCTGGCCTTTTGCAATCTAAAATTACCTAACAAACTGCAGCTGGGTCAGAGAGACCCAGAACATACAAAAGAAGGCCCAAGGCCCCACAGCAGCTTGCATTGCTTCACAGCTGGGCCTCATCTGGGCACCTCCAAACCCCAAACAAAGAAGAGGAATCCCTCCCCACACCCTGCTCTTTTGATTTTAATTCACCAACAAAGAGTGAACCTGCAACACTCTAAGCACCCCAACCTTAGACAGAGCTTTAGCTCTGGGCTCCCTCTCTTTCTACCTGTGACCTCACTGTGCAGTCCTTGGGCATGCTGTATCCTTCACCTTCCTGGATTTGTGAGTAATTAGCCTTGGTTTTTCAGAGACCCCTGATGGTTGTTTCTGAGGTGAGTCTTATAATCCTGAGAACCACAAAGGCAGTCCGGCCAGAACTTTGGTTGGGGAAATATTTGAGGGGGCCCAGGTGAGTATCCCAGGCATTCCTAGCTGACCACATCACTATTAATAGGCTGAGAGCTACATGAAACACTGTTATAGACATCAACTCCTCTTCAATCTGTTTTGGCTCTATGGTAGAGGTCAACTATTTCCACAATAATTCTCTGTAATAAACCACCCAAAACTTAGTGGCTTGAAACACAATTCTTTATTCTGTCTCACACATCTGTGAGTTGGCTGGGAACTGGCTGACCTAGGCTGGACTTGGCTCTAAGCTGCAGCTTGGGGCCAGCTTTATTCCACAAGTCTCTCATCTTCACTTGCCCAGTGAGTCATCTGGGGTATTTTCTTTCATCATCATGGCAAATTTATAAGTAGATAACCCCACCTACATATGCACATTGCAAGCCTCTGCATGAACCATGTCTGCTAATGTTCCATTGGGCCAAAGTCAAAGGCCCAGGAAGTGTCCTTCGTCTGTAGAAGAAAGAATTACAAGGTGTTATGACTTAGATGGCTAAAATCATGGATGTGGAGAAGAGTGAGAAATTTGGGCCAAAAAGTTAATCTGCCATATCCACCAAGGTGAGGTTTTGTTGATTGATTACCTTAGGTTGTCCTGGTCATCCAATATCACCTTTACTGTTTTCCTGTTAAGAGGTCACCATGGCCTTTGTTGACCCCGGCATTTCATCTGGTCCTTATCCTCATTTGCTGTGTGAGTTATTCTCCTAAAGAAAGGTCAAGAGCAGTAATTCCTATACATTTACTTAGGGAAAACATCTGGAGAGTTGTTTTTGTTCTTCGATTTTCATCTGGATGTTTGGCATTGTGTCAAAAGTATCACTCTGAAAAGTTTTAAAAAGTGAATCTAGTTAGTCTGTTACTTCCTCTCCACTTCATAAAAATACACAAGAGTCCACTCAAATGCCACTCCTGGGATACATGCTGGGAACCATGTTATAGAGGAAAGAGTAGGATAAATTTCCTCTGATGCTCATTCAAAGTAAATTTCCTTATAAACCTAAGCCAATTGGCCCACTTTAGAAATAATCTCACACCTTGTTTTGCACATTACAGTGAGATTCGGACGTGCAGGAGATCTTTGGCATTCTTTGATTTAAAAATCACAGTGTCTACTCTTGGCTAATGACCACTGGGTCATGGCATGCAATCATTTATCATTTTTGTTGAGATACATATTTGAAAGTCATGTGTCACGTGTCACCATCTTGGTACCACTGTTTTGTTCTCTAATTGCTATCTCATATACTTTTCATAGGAAAAATTAAGTTTAGTAGCAGTGTTTGCAAGTTTGGAAAGTTTCCAAGTGTCTTGGTTATAACCCATAGGAATGATGGGAGTAAACACTAGTAGTGCACATTCATTCCTCCTCATGTCATGGGGTTTTCTATCCCAAGTCCTTGATCCCAGTCTACATAACACTATGAAGCTTGGAAGGGGGATTGGAGGAGATGATATTTTTGTTGTTTCTGCTCATATTGTGTTTTAGGTAGAAAATTTTTAAAAAATAAAAGATTTCATTTAGTGACAAGATTTATCCCTTAATTCTCATGGTAGATCTTGAAAATTTTAACTTAGAGAGCTTTTTTTTAAAAATAGCATAATTGGCTATAGAGATCAGTGGAAGATGAATTGGTCTTATTAGATAGCAAATTCTCCCATAGAAATTCACCTGGTTTCGAGAAAAGCTGTGACATCAACAAAATGAAAGGAATATAGTGCCAAAATCTGGTTCATCCTTGTTGCTTGACACAGTAGCTTCAGGGAAGAAACATCTGCACAGCATATGTTTCAAGGGACCTGGGGTATATGGCATACTGTTCTTAATATGTTTGCTCCCCTTCTTAGCTCTATGTGTTTTAACCAAGGTCACCTCTCTGAGAAAGGTTGTTTCCCCAGGTGGGGATTTTTCCCTTGAGTTAGGGATTAACAGGACTAAGGAAGGGAATAAAACCCCTTAACTAAGTGACAGGAAGGTAATTAATCACTTTAACTATGAACAATCACTTAGGATAATCTCCTTCAGTTACTTCCTTATAGCTTAACAGAACAATAGAGTAATGACTTTGGAATGGAGATAAGAAATGCCCTAACCTTTGGAATAGAATGGATAGGATTAAAATCAACTGGTATAAATACAGATGTAACAGGACAATAAAGACCAAACCTGGCTGGAGAACGTGGCTAGGCTGCTGATCAACTGAACGCTGTTTCCTTGTCATTCCTTCTTCACCGACTCCGTCCACACCTTTGGGAACCCCTGGACCTGCTGGGGCTGGACCCCAACAATATAGAAGGGTGACCTTGGGAAAAAGAATAATAAGCCTGAAGCCTGATGCAACTCAATAGGACCTTAGAGTCTGTCTTCTAACAACTCCAAGGCCATTCAAACAACTGGCATCTAAATTGGTTGGCTATTCTGCTCTGTTGCTTAGAAAAACAAGTTTTCATTTTGCAGGCAGCCTTCCCTACTACCAAGCTCTATTTCTGCTGCTCACACATAGTCGTTTGCGTTGCCTCCAAATAATCAACCTCGATGTCAAAGATGTTTCTCCACTTGTTGAAGCATTTACTGAATATTTTAGGCCTAGAGACCAACAAACCCCATCTTTCTAGCATAGCGCAATGCCATGGACATAACCCTGCAAGGTACTTCCTACTGCAGATGGAGAAGGGTAGATGGGACTTTAAAAATATTATTGTCTAAACCTTTTCACTCCCACCGCCACAAAAAGCCAGGCCTAAGCCTGGACATATATACAAAGTTGCTTCAAGAAAATGTACATTTATATCACTAGATAAGATCATCATTATAACACTAGAAGCCCAGTGTACAAAAATCATGCACAGGGAGGTGGGGGGGAGGCGTCCCCTCAGCCCAGCCTGCACCCTCTTCAATCCAGGACCCCTCGAGGGATGTCTGACTGCTGGTTTAGGCCCGATCCCGGCAGTAGGAAATCCCTCACACAATCCTGGACCACTGGCTCCTAATTGTTCACCTGTCTGCCTGCCTGGTGGCCCCTAACTGCCCCCTCCCCCCCAGCCTGATTTCCCCTCACTGCCTCTGTGTGCTGTGTGCTGGCCTGATCGCCTCTAACTTCCCTCCATTCCAGTCTGGTCACCCCCAACTGCACCTCTTCTGCCGGCCTGGTCGCCCCTCACGCCCACCCCCCCACACACCAGCCTGGTCACTCCACACAGCCAGACGTTCAGTTGTTTGGTCATCCCTCACTAATCCCCCTGCCTGCCTGGTCGTAGGCAGCCATCTTGTGAGGGTTAATTTGCATATTACCTCTTTATTATATAGGAGGAAGATAGCCCAGCTGACTCTGATGTTAACATGTAACATCAAAGTGACACAATTATGGCTTATTTTGGACTAGAAAGTGTTGGTGCTTCAAAGAATTAATTTGCAAGTTACCTCCAAACCAATATTTTGAAACAACCCTATGACATATGTGAAGATTTTTAGTTGTGGCTTGCAAAGTTTGTTTTTACAGAAGTAAATTTTTTCAAGTTTTTAGATAGAACCTCAATGTTTAGAAAAGTGATAATGCTATTAAAACAGATGAATGAGCCCAAATTTCTACCTGTTAAGATCACCTCTGACTCTCTGATATACTTGGAAGGACAATTATGCAATTCTGGGGCTCCTGGAACATAATTTCCAAATTTATTTCTGCTTACTACTAATCAAGCTGAAAGCTAAATTTAATTCAGTGTTCTAGTTTCTCCTCTTTTCTTAGTTCTCCTGCTAGGTCCCTATTCTCTTGAATTCACAAGTTGTATATCATTCATTACAGTTGGGTTTCTTCTTGAGATTTAAAGACCCACACTTATAAACACCCAGTTTTTCGCCTTCAGTATGTGAGTTAAACTTTTCTAAAGTATATTATGTATTTTCTAATGTCCTTAAGCAGTATGCTAAATGAATTTTAATATTTCTTGGCTTAGCATTCTCATATTGGAAATAGTAATATATACTATTATCCTTGATAGTTAATATACTACAGTATAAAGGGCATGGACTGTGGAGTTCATGGTATAGAATCCATTTAAGAGCTGTGTTCTTAAGCAAATAACTTAATCTATCTTAGTTACTTAAAAACAAAATTTGTATATCAAAAATCATACCTAATTTGTAAAGTTGAATATAAAAATTGAATAGAATAATGCCTGCTACATAACACTGGAACTTTTGAATGGAAAGTGTAGGGAGAATGAGTTGATAGCTGTCCACCCAAATCCATAGTCCCCAATTAGACTGAATTTCCATGCTTATAGATCTATCAAATGAGAGTATTTACCTTCACTGCCATTCCAGGGCCCTTCTTGAGTAGGGCTGCAGTACATTTCTAGCTAATAACAATACAAAAAGCTGGCCTATCTCTGTTGCAGGTCAAGGGGTTCGCTCATTTGTTGGTTGGGTATTGTGAACCTTTGTAAAGCCAGAGATGTAAGGTGATGAAAGGTGTAGTAATTAATAAAGGAAGGTGACTGGCATAGAAAACTTGTTTATCAAGTTACTTGTTGCCCTTCATATCTGCTGGGACCCATCTATTGTACATGCCATTTCCATCAAACAATAGATTACTGGGGCACTACGTAGGGGATCAGATGGAGGAGTCATGTGGGCTCAGGTTACACAGCCACTCAACATCCTATGGCCAGGAGCCCAGTCTCTACTAGGCTAGGAGCTGCTTTGCCAACAGTGAGTAGTTTCTTGCCACATAAGTCTAAGCCTTGCTCTGGACTGCTAAGCGTCCTGTCATGACTATTCTTTGAGAATGACATCTAATCATTATGGATACAGCTGGCTTCAATAGAGCTGCTGAACTTTGTGGGCCAAGTGACAGGGCCAATAGTACTTCAGCTAGAAGTCAAATGACCCAATTCTTGAATCCCATGTGAAGAGGCTGCTTTTTAGGATTATTTCTAGATTTCAATTATCTTAGTGTAGGTTTTCTGGAAAAGCAGAGCCTGAGAAAAGGGCTGGCTTATAAATCATTAATTTTGGTAAGAAATCCCAAGGAACAGAGGTCGGGACTGGGAAGAATAGAACTGGGAATTGGGGAAAACCATCCATGAGTTATTGTCTTGCTGCTCACACAGTGGGACTGCGAAGAATAGAACTGGGAATTGGGGAAAACCATCCATGAGTTATTGTCTTGCTGCTCACACAGTGGGACTGCGAAGAATAGAACTGGGAATTGGGGAAAACCATCCATGAGTTATTGTCTTGCTGCTCACACAGTGGGCAACTGGGCTCCATCTTGGCTTAGGACTTTCTAAAGGTGAACTTCAATGTTGTTCACCTAAGGGCAGAAGAGGGGATATATATCCACTGACTCTGCCCTGCGGGTCAAGGGTGACCTCCAAGGGTGCTAGATCCAGGTTTGCTTATGTGTAAGAATGGGTGAGTGTGCTCCTTTGGGTGTTCATGTTGCAATACCAGAGAAGGCTGAGGACTAAAAGGGATTTGTATGATGCAACTCAAGCAAGGGGCTTTCAGGTTACACCTGCTGCAGCCGGTCACTGCACCCACTCCTCCAGTAGAAAGGCAAGGCAGAACATGTACTTGAAGCAGAGAAGCAGTTTTCCCTCAACAAAATGAGTGCAGTAGCCATGCCTCTTTAATAATCATAGCAAAGTAATTATGATTGCTTTTATATTTTTTGTAACCTTTACTTTCTTGCCATTAGCTATTATTTCTTACTGACACTGTGCTTTTCTTCTTTTTTTAAAAAATATATTTTTATTGATTTCTGAGAGGAAGGGAGAGGGAGAGAGAGATAGGAATATCAATGATGAGAGAGAACCATTGATCAGCTGCCCCCTGCATGCCCCTTACTGGGGATCGAGCCTGCAATCTGGGCATGTGCCCTTGACCGGAATTAAACCCAGGACCCTTCAGTCTGCAGGCTGATGCTCTCTATCTACTGAGCCCAACCAGCTGGGGCACTTAGTGCTTTTCTAGGGCATTATTTCAAACTCCCACTAACCTGTTTCTCTTCTAGCATGAATTTGAAATTCAGTTGTATCATTGGTTAGGATATGGGAATAAATAGGCCCTGAGTGGGTGCCTGAGGTGATCTGTAAAAAGCACATGAAGATGTTAAGCAAACTTATTGCGGCCATCATTTCACAAGATGTGTAGGTCAAACCATTATGCTATACTTAAATGTATATAGTGATGTATGTCATTCATATTTCAATAAAATGGACTTTTTTAATTTACAAAAGCACATAATTTTATGACTTTTGATATGTCTATTTAGCCTCACAGGGGCCCCTTATTTCCTTGTAATTTCTCATTCTCATGTTCAAGTTAAGTCAAATGATCAGAGAGTCAAATTATGAACTAACAGGGGCTATTGTTTTGACTTAACATGGGCTATTGTGACTACATAATATAACCTATTATTATTATTTTTTAATGAGGTAAAAATTTTAAAAGTGTCATATTATAGCCTTTTGCTAATTACTTTAGCTTTATTTTGCTATTCAAGAGTTATATCCAGTACACATATATGAAATTAGTACCAAATTAATACCAATTAGTACCAATTGATTTTTGTTCAGGTTCATTAATTTTTAAAAACAATTAAAAGGCTGTTAAGCCATACATAAGATAGTGGATTATAAACAGAACTCCCAAATATGGGATTCCTCATATATGTTCTCAGGAAAGAAAAATATTTATTTTGAAAATAAAAAATAAAAATCAAATATCTGCTTTCTCCAAAATGCTTTACAAAAAAATGTAGTAAAGACAAAAATAATAATGGGGAATAATAAATAAATTCCACTTCAAATGACATTTACCTTTGGTACAGGCCCTAATAGTTCAAATTAAGCAAAGATTAAAATGCAAATATTGCTCTTGGTGCTGGCTGGATTTCCAGGGCCTTTGAAATGTTTAGAAAACAGTCTACGCATTTCATTTCCTTTTTATTTGGACAGCACATTGTTGCCGCATTTCTTTGATTTGCACATCTGGAATCACTAAAACATACAGCTGGGAAGAGCTGCCAATGATATTTTGTTTTCGTGACTAAGAATTAGAACCTTGGTCTGACCAAAGGGTAATTATCTGGGCGAGTTAATGATGAAATCCTGAGGAGTGATGACAAGATGAAGACCCAGGTACTGGCTACCATGGGCTCTAGAAATCAGTTTGTCACTATCCCCCTCGGAGTTTTATGAGATGCTGCTGACACCACAC